AATAAATAAACATTAAAAAAAAAGAACTACATAATGCTAATATTCCAATAGTACTATGATCTTTGCTATCAACAATCCAAGATTCAGTACTCCATCAAACATTTCTCTGTCTGTCTTCTGTCTCTCCCCTCCCCCCCCCACCCACAGGATTTCTCACACCATCTCGTCCCTATAAATGCAGCTCGTTTTCTCTTATTGACTATTAAGTTTTCTTAAAAAGATCAAAATTCTTTTAACAAATCAATGATCAAAAATGACCCATTGCTTTCTTTAAAGATCCGTCAAGGTCATTCTGTGTTTAAACAGTAGCCTGTGAAGACTTTACAGAGCTGAAATTAGCATTGGCACAGGGAAAAGCGAGTTTATCTTATGCTCAGCAGAACATATTTAGGTCAGGTTGGGAGCTAGTAACTGATCATTTATTCTCAGCTAGCAGAGAGGTGGGCATAGTTAAAACTATTAAAGGCTGGGTTGGGTCTCTTTCATTTTGTAGTAGGATTTGCAGTCCAACACATCTGTGAGACAAGAAAGGCTAAAGTAGAGCTCTGTTTCCTTGAACCTGGCATTGTAAGTTAAACAATAACACATATTTCCGCTACATCAGCGTTTTTTAACTTCTTCATTGTAAACATCCTATATACTTTCCTATTTTGTTAATTTCAGAGCTTGAGCTTGTGTCTACATCTATGTCAAATTATCATTTATTCTATGAAAAGCAGCACAAATACTGTTGATTCTGGTTTTAACACAAATTCCTTAAAAAAATGTTAAGGCCATTTAATTGAATCAGGGCCAACTGAAGATTACCCTGGTAGAAGTCAAACTACTGATTTAAGATTTTTGAAAAAGAGTCATAAGTGGTTGTCTTGTGTTTTCCTCCGTAGAACTTGAGAACAGTTTGAGGACTTATTAGTCTCCAACATCTCCATCTCGATCGCCAATAAGCCAAAGAAAATGAAAACTTAAGGCTAACAAAGCTGTTCCAAGCAGATCACCCAATGCCGTCAGATAGGGGATGGAGAAACTATCCGGGTCCTTTCCTTTCCTCCAGAAGTGATGGACCATCCAGTCGGCAATCCACAGCAAGGTAAACACCTAGAAAACACCAGAGATTACTTCTATTGCCTGGATATTAGTACCCCAGTAGACATAACGCCCACCGGGCCATAATCCTACACCACTGCTTTCTGAAAGGAAGAGCATGCGTCAAGTCAAGAACCATGCCTGAAGAGAAGAAATCTTTAACTGACAAGAACATCTTTTCACAAGAAAAAATAGCGTGTGTATCTGTTATTAATAACATTTTTCTTCAACTTTTCATATACCTTCTCATTTTCTTCAAGCTTCCCCAAATCCCAATAATCCTTATATTGAATACTATTATACAGTTGCCAAATCACTGTAATGTTTCAACTTCTTTCCATATGATACACCTGAGAACACATATAAAGAAGGAAATAAAAACTAAAATAAGGAATAACATTTCTCCTATTGAAGGTATATCAAATGAAATAAAGATGGGGAACTGACCACGCACTCACTAATTATAAGGCCATGGGTGGCTTCTCAAGGGAAATTTCAGCCAATGGTAAGGACAGTAACTAGAAGGGAGGTGTAGTGAGGAATGACTCATCTACATGGATGTATTATAGATCTAGACAGAGAGTCAAAATATATTAAAGGGTTATTCAAATGCGAAGGTGATATATGTAAGCACTTTCTAGGATATCAGGAATATGAAGACGTTTGTAATGCTTTGAATTTTGGGACCAGATATTCTTCTCTTTGAATATTTAGAGTAGAAGGATTGTCTAATTTTCAAATTCCTTTAGTATGAAGGGATTTGGGACTAGAGAGGTCAGTGTTCCCTGGTTGTGGACAACTCGTCAAGTAGAGTTTAGTGGCTACGAGCACTTCTCTGTCACCTACTAGCCAAATGAAGGCAAGTAGTTGAACCTCTCTATTTCTCGCAAGTGAACGTTAGAGATAATAATGGCACCTACCTTCACGAGAACGCTGTGAGGATTAAATAGACTGAATAGTTCGGTCCTTGGCACACAATAAGCTTTCATCAGATGTCTGCTACTAGTAGATTTTAATGGTGTCATTGCTAGGACCATTTGTGGCCATCTCATTCCTATTTCTATGTGCAGGAGGAAGCGCATCCTTGGCCCAGAGTCTACGCCAAGGGTCTGTTACCTTTTACTGACACGTAGATATGGAGGCTCACTTTGGGCGAGCTGCCTTGGGTTCTACACTTGTGTGTGCTGAGGTTTAGCTCTGACACCTTCAGAGGAGACTGGCTCGTCTATACAGAGAGACAGATGTGTAACCATTCCAAAGGAGTGAACTTTAAATATCTTTGGACATCTGTCAGAGAGGGAGGCTGTGTTTTAACCCATTTTATTTTGTATGAAGTTATTTGTTCTTTAGTGTTTCCCTGGCAAAGACTGTTTTAGAATCACAGAAAGTTCCATCAGAACAATCTGTTTTGCGTGTGGAGGAAGCATGGAATATTAGAAATAATTCTGGACTTGAAAATGATAAGATGCGGATTTGATTTCCATTTATCAGCTGTATGACTGTGGGCAAGCTTCTTACCATGCTGAGTTTAAATTTTCTCATTTTTAAGAAAAAATTTTTAATGGTTATTCATTTTTTGAAAGACAGAGACAGAGAGCAAGCGAGGGAGGGGCAGAGAGAGAGGAGACACAGAATCCGAAGCAGGCTCCAGGCTCTGAACTGTCAGCACAGAGCCCGACATGAGACTCGAACCCACGAACCACGAGATCATGACCTGAGCTGAAGTTGGATGCTTAACCAACTGAGCCACCCAGGTGCCCCAAATTTTCCCACTTGAAGAAAACCCAAAAGGGCCTAATATCTGCCACACTGACTTTGAAGTAAGTAATAAGAGCCTTGGTCTGGGGGCATGAAGAGAAAGGTAAGAAAGCATGATCTCAGGGTACATCAATAAAAGCATAATGCATAGAGCGAGAAAGAGTCATCCACTGGACCCTGAATGGGCCAGGCCACATCTGGGCAGTGCATTCTGTTCCGGATGCCGTATTTCTATAGAAATAGGTCACCCCAAGTTTGCTAGATTCAGGGTCTAGCAAAGTGAGTAGCTCACAAAGCAGATACTTGGTATCCAACTGAATGCTGGGGAATCAGTGTGAGACAATGTCATACAACAGTCTGTCCCAGGCAGGGAGGGTGGCAGATGTGAACGTAAGAAGGTTATAGTATCAGGAGATGCTAGATTTTAATACACAGCTTCAGAGGGTAGTTTTAGGCTAAAGGATAAAAGGTACCAAAAGACAGAACTTTTTTCAAGAAAACAATTGGGGTTGTCTATAAATAGAATAAGTTAGGTAGTAAGCTGTATAATACTGGACTATATGGAAGTTCAATAAAGGAATGTGCTGATGAATGAGTAATGTGTACAAGAGGAAACAACAGTTTTAAAGAGGAAAAGGTAGCTGATTTCCATGAGACTGGCAAGAAATGTAAATAAATAAATCTCTTTTATCATATATGCATCATATTATATATTCATGTAGGAGATATTTAATATATAGTTATATACATAAATTTATTCAATATATAACATCATACATATGTGATATATACACAATTTACTAATTCCTTGTTGCACATCTGCACTGAACAGATTAGATTTGTCTAGAACAGGAGTGGGCAAACTATAGTCCATGGACTAAATTCAACCTGCCAACTGTTTTTATAAATAAAATTTTATTGCAACACAACCCCACCCATTTATTTACTTACTTTCTATTTAGTCTATTATTCAATCCTCACAAGATTCTCATGAAACAGGCACTATTATTACCCTTGATGTTCATTTGGAGCAATCAGGTCGGAGAGGTTAAATAACCTGTTTTACAGGTTACACTACAATGACAGAACTATGTAGCTGTGACAGAGACCATATGGTCCACAGAACCCAAGACATTTACTCTCTGGCCTTTTACAGAAAAATGTGTGCTGACCTCTACTCAGGAGACAAATACTTATTCATACAGAAAGAAATAAAATAGCATCCTTACCTCATACACTAAAATAAATTCTAGCTAAGACTCAAGTACAAAAAGCAATACCTGAGAAGTTCTGTAAGAGAATGTCTTGTGACCTTGATGTAGGCGATGATCTCATAAGTAAAATGCGTAAAAATGCATAAAATATTTTAGTTTATAAACAATTTTAAATTAAAGATTTATAAAAATTAATTAATTAATTAAAGATTTTTGTGGTTCAATAAATACCACAAATAAAGTTAAAAATCACGCTCCAGGCTTGGGGGAAAAAAAAAATCTCTGCACTGTTTATAACTGGCAAAGAATTAGTATTCAGAATATTTAAAGAGAATATACAGAGAACTCCTACAGTTCATAAGAAAAAGAAACAACCCAATAGAATAGAAAAGGAAATCTAAAGTGTTAATAAACATATGAAAAGATGCTCAACCTCACTAATAATACGCGAATGCAAATTAAACCGCATTAAACTCCATTTCATACCCAAGTGACTGGCAAAAATCAATCTTTAAGCAACAGTAATAGCAATTTTGTTTTGTGAAACAGCTGTAATGGGTACATGCAATGTTCAAAGAGGTTCATGTGAACGGATTTAATTCTCAAAATACCTCTATTATATGCTATGGACTATTACTATCCCTTTTTGACACAAGAGGATACTAAGGCATATGTGAAGTGTAGGAAGCCTGCCCGAGATCACACAGCTCACGGGCGGAGACAGGCTCAAACCCATATTATAGTCTAACGCTAAGGCCCAAATTATCACCCGTCAGTGCAGCTCACTGTTTTTGGTCAAAAGAACTCTGCACTGCCAACAGGAGTATAAATTGGCGCACTGCTTTGGGGACCAACTCGGCAACATGTGTGCGTTTCCTCAATTCGGTAATTCCACATGGAAACATGATTTTTTCCCCTCCGTTTCTTCTGCAGCATAGGTAAAAGGGTAAAATTGTTCATTGCTGAAGGAGACTGCCCCGGGGGCTCCACTGAGCCCCAGTCCCACGTGGCTACCTCAAGGACTGAGAAGACCAATATCTTGGTGTGTTTGCAAGAGCGCCGCCGGGAAACTCCTACGTGCATGCTTGTTGCACCGTTGTCATAAAAGTCCAAAGTTGGAAATAACCTAGAAAGTCTCCAGGCAGAGGGATGACTAAATGGACTCCGAGGTCACATGACTGAACACACTGCAGAGAAGCTAAAATGAATGAAAAAGAGCTACGCGACTCGATAGGAGCATGTCTCAAAAGCCTAAGGATTGAATGAAAAGGCAGTAGGAGACTACGTAAAGATTCCAATGAGGCTTATAAACACGACAAAAAATACAATATGTTATTTATAGATTCATTCCACAGCAAGAGTACAGAAACATGCTTGGTAGTGACACATACCAATTTTGCTAACTGCTCGGGAGGGGAATCAAATGAGACCGGGTACAGGAGGCACCAGCCCTGTACATGATGTATTTTTGGTTATTTTGAAGTAGTTGTTTAAATAATTTGTTAAGAGTTGATAAAGCTGGTGCTAAATACAAGATCATCTTATTTCCTATTTCCTATAGTTCCTGTTCATTTATATTTTATAATTAAAAAAAAAAAAAAGTGAGCTGCTGGGGCAGTGGTAACTCACTGACCAGGGCGATCCAAACTACATCTTAGAATGCCTGAGAGAGAAAGTCAAGTGCGCCCTGAAGAGGCCACAAAAGGTTTGGACTTGTTAGTACCAAATGGCTCTGAGGCTAACACCAAAGGGGTCTTTAAGTGTCTGTGTGTGGAGTGAGAAACTGGCTGATTCTTTGATCATTCTTGCAACTGTTCTCTCCAGCTGGGAAATAAGGGGACGTTTTGTGGAGAAACTGAATGGGAAAGTCTCAGGACACAAAAACGCGAGGAAGCATCAAGCACTGGTTGAGAATGAGGATTAATTGGTAGTTAACAATGGGATTCCTTTAGCCCCTGGTTTTGTTCCAAGAACAGTGGCAGGTGGGAGTATACCCCCCAGAGAGGACATTAGATGTTCACATTTGGAGGGCTCCCAGTT